TGGTTTTTAATACAACAAAAATGTATAAATATTTTTAAATAAAATTTGTGTTTTTTCCCCAAATTCACTAAAATTTATATCTTTGTTTAAAATCTTTTAAAATATTTCAAGTATTTTTCTCTTTAATTTACGGTTTTTAAAGTAAAATAATTTTTATAAAATTTTATTAATTTTATTTTGATTTTACTAAACACCACACTTTTTTTATTTATTTATTAAAAATTTGTTTAAAATAAATTCTTTATTTTTTTGGGTTCACACTTTTAAAATTTTATTTTCGTTTTGTTTTTATTTTTCCATTTCTTCTTGCGTTTGTTGTTTTGTACGTTTCTTCTATAATATTTTTCAATTTTCGTTTTTATTTTGCTACAATATATTTATTGTACTTTTTTTTTGCTCAAATCTATATTTATAATTTCATTTTTATAACATTTTTTAAGGCAATTTTTTGTTTTTTTTTTCAAGTTGCCGCAACTTGATTGCAGTTACCAAAAAGTAAAGTATCTTAGTTATTAATTTAAAAAAAAACACACACTTTGTATCTTATAAATATCAACAAAATGGCCTCTATCAAATAGCCGAACACTCACGTACCTTACTCGTTGACGTTTGATTCTAAACTAAACTAAAAATCTGTGTGTTATTATTATGTTTGTACGTTTTGTTATTTTTCTTTGGCCACCACTTGTCGTTGTTGTCGTTTTGTTTGTTTCGTTCATATCAAAAATAGCACAAAACATGCTAAATTGTATCCAAGAAATACACTCCACTTCACTCTATTAGTATTTATTTCTGTGGAGCTTGTTTTAGTGAGCCTTTAACATCAGAGAGAGAGAGAGAAAAAGAGTGTGAGAATAAAGCTTTTTTAAGATTTAATGCGTATGTTTGTTTTTGTTTATTGTTTTGGGGAGTAAAAGCTTTTAATTCCATGCCAACCATGGCATAATTAGAGAGGTGACTGCATCACTACAATAAAAACAACAAGTATTTTACTTTTGTACTAGCATTACATTACTATCAAAATTTTCATATGATATGTAAACAAATAACATGTATAACATGTAAACAATAACAACTTTCTGTCAAAAGTTTTTACTCTTCACAAAAATAACAAAATAATCAGCTGCTTTATTACAGTCACCTTTGTAGTTATGCCATGTTGTGAACATTGAACAATTTTAACTTGATGTCAGTGATGGGTTTACATTTTGTGGTACTTTTTATTTAGTACTCTTTTAGAGCAGCCTATTTTCTAGTCTGTAATATACTATAAACTATAGTTTATAGTCTAGTCTATAGTGTAGTATATAGTCTAGTCTATAGTCTAGTCTAAAGTCTAGTCTATAGTCTAGTCTATAGTCTAGTCTAAAGTCTAGTCTATAGTCTAGTCTATAGTCTAGTATAAAGTCTAGTCTATAGTCTAGTCTATAGTCTAATTCAGAGTCTAGTCTATAGTCTAGTCTACAGTCTAATCCAGAGTCTAGTCTATAGTCTAGTCTATAGTCTAGTCTATAGTCTAGTCTATAGTCTAGTCTATAGTCTAGTCTATAGTCTAGTCTATAGTCTAGTCTATAGTCTAGTCTATAGTCTAGTCTATAGTCTAGTCTATAGTCTAGTCTATAGTCTAGTCTATAGTCTAGTCTATAGTCTAGTCTATAGTCTAGTCTATAGTCTAGTCTATAGTCTAGTCTATAGTCTAGTCTATAGTCTAGTCTATAGTCTAGTCTATAGTCTAGTCTATAGTCTAGTCTATAGTCTAGTGTATAGTCTAGTCTATAGTCTAGTCTATAGTCTAGTCTATAGTCTAGTCTATAGTCTAGTCTAGTCTATAGTCTAGTCTAGTCTATAGTCTAGTCTATAGTCTAGTCTATAGTCTAGTCTATAGTCTAGTCTATAGTCTAGTCTATAGTCTAGTCTATAGTCTAGTCTATAGTCTAGTCTATAGTCTAGTCTATAGTCTAGTCTACAGTCTAGTCTACAGTCTAGTCCATAGTCTAGTCTATAGTCCAGTCCATAGTCTAGTCTATAGCCTATAGTCTAGTCTATAGTCCAGTCCATAGTCTAGTCTATAGCCTATAGTCTAGTCTATAGTCTAGTCCATAGTCTATAGTCTAGTCTATAGTCTAGTCTATAGTCCAGTCTATAGTCCAGTCTATAGTATAGTCTAGTAGTAGTTAGTTAGTTAGTTAGTTAGTTAGTTAGTTAGTTAGTTAGTTAGTAGTTAGTTAGTAGTTAGTTGTTAGTTAGTTAGTAGTTAGTTAGTTAGTTAGTTAGTTAGTTAGTTAGTTAGTTAGTTAGTTAGTTAGTTAGTTAGTTAGTTAGTTAGTTAGTTAGTTAGTGTTAGTTAGTTAGTAGTTAGTTAGTTAGTAGTTAGTTAGTTAGTTAGTTAGTAGTTAGTTAGTTAGTTAGTTAGTTAGTAGTTAGTTAGTTAGTTAGTTAGTTAGTTAGTTAGAGTTAGTAGTAGTTAGTTAGTAGTTAGTTAGTTAGTTAGTTAGTTAGTTAGTTAGTTAGTTAGTTAGTTAGTTAGTTAGTTAGTAGTTAGTTAGTTAGTTAGTTAGTTAGTTAGTTAGTTAGTAGTTAGTTAGTTAGTTAGTTAGTTAGTTATGTAGTTAGTTAGTAGTTAGTTAGTTAGTTAGTTAGTTAGTTAGTTAGTTAGTTAGTAGTTAGTTAGTTAGTTAGTTAGTTAGTTAGTTAGTTAGTAGTTAGTTAGTTAGTTAGTTAGTTAGTTAGTTAGTTAGTTAGTTAGTTAGTTAGTTAGTTAGTTAGTTAGTTAGTTAGTTAGTTAGTTAGTTAGTTAGTTAGTTAGTAGTAGTTAGTTAGTTAGTTAGTTAGTTAGTTAGTTAGTTAGTTAGTTAGTTAGTTAGTTAGTTAGTTAGTTAGTTAGTTAGTTAGTTAGTTCGTTAGTTAGTTAGTTAGTTAGTTTAGTTAGTTAGTTAGTTAGTTAGTTAGTTAGTTAGTTAGTTAGTTAGTTAGTTAGTTAGTTAGTTAGTAGTTAGTTAGTTAGTTAGTTAGTTAGTTAGTAGTAGTTAGTAGTAGTTAGTTAGTTAGTAGTTAGTTAGTTAGTTAGTTAGTTAGTTAGTTAGTTAGTTAGTAGTTAGTTAGTAGTTAGTTAGTTAGTTAGTTAGTTAGTTAGTTAGTTAGTTAGTTAGTTAGTTAGTAGTTAGTTAGTTAGTTAGTTAGTTAGTTAGTTAGTTAGTTAGTTAGTTAGTAGTTAGTTAGTTAGTTAGTTAGTAGTTAGTAGTTAGTTAGTTAGTTAGTTAGTTAGTTAGTTAGTTAGTTAGTTAGTTAGTTAGTTAGTTAGTTAGTTAGTTAGTAGTTAGTTAGTTAGTTAGTTAGTTAGTTAGTTAGTGTTAGTTAGTTAGTTAGTTAGTTAGTTAGTTAGTTAGTTAGTTAGTTAGTTAGTTAGTTAGTTAGTTAGTTAGTAGTTAGTAGTAGTTAGTTAGTTAGTTAGTTAGTTAGTTAGTTAGTTAGTTAGTTAGTTAGTTAGTTAGTTAGTTAGTAGTTAGTTAGTTAGTTAGTTAGTTAGTTAGTTAGTTAGTTAGTTAGTTAGTTAGTTAGTAGTTAGTTAGTTAGTTAGTTAGTTAGTTAGTTAGTTAGTTAGTTAGTTAGTTAGTAGTTAGTTAGTTAGTTAGTTAGTAGTTAGTTAGTTAGTTAGTTAGTTAGTTAGTTAGTAGTAGTTAGTTAGTTAGTTAGTTAGTTAGTTAGTTAGTTAGTTAGTTAGTTAGTTAGTTAGTTAGTTAGTTAGTTAGTTAGTTAGTTAGTAGTTAGTTAGTTAGTTAGTTAGTTAGTTAGTTAGTTAGTTAGTTAGTTAGTTAGTTAGTTAGTTAGTTAGTTAGTTAGTTAGTTAGTTAGTTAGTTAGTTAGTAGTTAGTTAGTTAGTTAGTTAGTTAGTTAGTTAGTTAGTTAGTTAGTTAGTAGTTAGTTAGTTAGTTAGTTAGTTAGTTAGTTAGTTAGTTAGTTAGTTAGTAGTTAGTTAGTTAGTTAGTTAGTTAGTTAGTTAGTTAGTTAGTTAGTTAGTTAGTTAGTTAGTTAGTTAGTTAGTTAGTTAGTTAGTTAGTTAGTTAGTTAGTTAGTTAGTTAGTTAGTTAGTTAGTTAGTTAGTTAGTTAGTTAGTTAGTTAGTTAGTTAGTTAGTTAGTTAGTTAGTTAGTTAGTTAGTTAGTTAGTTAGTTAGTTAGTTAGTTAGTAGTTAGTTAGTTAGTTAGTTAGTTAGTTAGTTAGTTAGTTAGTTAGTTAGTTAGTTAGTTAGTTAGTTAGTTAGTTAGTTAGTTAGTTAGTTAGTTAGTTAGTTAGTTAGTTAGTTAGTTAGTTAGTTAGTTAGTTAGTTAGTTAGTTAGTTAGTTAGTTAGTTAGTTAGTAGTTAGTTAGTTAGTTAGTTAGTTAGTTAGTTAGTTAGTTAGTTAGTTAGTTAGTTAGTTAGTTAGTTAGTTAGTTAGTTAGTTAGTTAGTTAGTTAGTTAGTTAGTTAGTTAGTTAGTTAGTTAGTTAGTTAGTTAGTTAGTTAGTTAGTTAGTTAGTTAGTTAGTTAGTTAGTTAGTTAGTTAGTTAGTTAGTTAGTTAGTTAGTTAGTTAGTTAGTTAGTTAGTTAGTTAGTTAGTTAGTTAGTTAGTTAGTTAGTTAGTTAGTTAGTTAGTTAGTTAGTTAGTTAGTTAGTTAGTTAGTTAGTTAGTTAGTTAGTTAGTTAGTAGTTAGTTAGTTAGTTAGTTAGTAGTTAGTTAGTAGTAGTTAGTTAGTTAGTTAGTTAGTTAGTTAGTTAGTTAGTTAGTTAGTTAGTTAGTTAGTTAGTAGTTAGTTAGATCAGGTCAGTCTATTTGAAGTCCAAGTCTTTTTCCCTTTCTAAGTAAATATTCATTTCGAACATCCCATCACTAATTTTCCCATAAGTGCTTTAGATAACATTCCTCTTTCGATAGAGCTTTTGATAACAAAGCTTTTATGTTAACTTTATAACATAATTGTTAAATAAAATACGTAGTTCGTTTAATAAGTTCAAAGCGAAATGTTTTATTTTAATTTATTTTAACTTTAATGGGATTTGTGACAAAAATTACTTTCAAAATCTTAAGAAGTAACCAATTGAAGAAAATCACAACACTTAATATCATTAAGCCTAAACCGGCTAAAACATCCAAACCATGTTTCTGGAAATAACCCATTTTTTGAGCAGGACTTTGTAAATGTGCAGCACCATTATGTCTTAAAACATATTCCGTCCAATAAATAGCCAAATCTAAGGGTTTTATAGGTTGATCGTGGTACCTCACGGAAATTTCTTTGGCTCTTTGTCGATATTGGGGATTATTTAACATTTCTAGTATAGAACTTTTCAGCTGTTCCCGACTGAAGGAGGCAAAATCCAGCCTCAAAGCAAAACCCTGCTGTTGTGCTTTATTAACATTCTGTTGTTGATCGAAAAATACGGGCAGTCCTAATATAGGTTTACCATGATATACCGTTTCAAATGTAGACAAAAGACCGCCATGTGACATGAAAAGTTTAACTTTAGGATGAGCCAATATATCTCCCTGCGGGAACCAGGGAGAGATTAAAACATTTTTTGGTTTTCCGGGTAATTGAGGGTTTTCAAATTTCCATAATATTTTATAAGGTAACGAGGCAAATACCTCATTGAAAATGCGTAAAGTTTCCAAAGGAAAATCTTTACTTTTGATATTAGAACCCATGGAGAAATAGATAACATCTTGTGAGGAATTATTTAAGAAATCATTGATTTCTGCAGTTAAAGGTTTGGGTTCATGCTGTATTTGAATGCCACCCACTTCAATCATATTGGTGACATACGAACGGGGAGAACTTAAGGAAAAATGTTGATTCATTAGAAAGAGAGACATATTGCGGCGCAGCTCAGAAACGGGTTCTTTAATATGGGGCATATAACGATCCACTATATGCTGATGTCGAGGTACATGCACCAAATGATTGTGTATTAGTTCTAATACTTTTTGTAATAAGTTTTGCATACGATTTTTATAAGACATTTGCTCAGTGAAACCGGTAGACATTAAAGGTACATAGGTAAAGGGAGAAATATTACCCAGAAGTTCATCTATTATGGGATCAGTGCCATAGGAAGATATACCTATTATAGGGGCCTTAAAATGTGCACCAAAACTATACCAAGCATCGGTATTAATGGATTCCAGTATAATCAAATCAAAACTTTCAATTTGTAGTAAATTTTGTACCTGAGGATTCTTCATAACGGTGAGAGTAACATTGGTAAAGAAATCCGAAAGAAAAGTAAGTTCATTCCACATATTACGCTCCTCCTGAGCTCCATTAACAAAAACTAGAAAATGTTATAGTTAAGAAAGATATAGAGAAAACTGTTAACATGGATCTGATGCTTACATTCTTGTACATTATGAATTTCCATTACCGCTATATCTCGATAATTTTTAATATTCTCTTTACCGGGATAAGCATTAATAACGGTTAGTTCATGACCCCTTTGCGCCAAAGCTTTTAAGTACGGCTGCACTAATATATATTGAGATCTACCGGGAAATGGAAAAACTGCTAGTATCTTGGCACTTTCATTGATTTTAATAAAACTTAAGAAAATTTCTATAAAAATTATAAGAAATCTCTTATTTAACCTCATTCTTTTTTATTAAATTGTTTTATTTTAGAGAAATAATTTAAATTGCGTTGTTTTTAGCTCGAAATGTTTAATCTAACTGAAAGGGAAAATTAATCTCACTTTTTACAATGCATTACATTTGATTAAAACAATTTAGAATGAATCTCATTGCACCCAATATAGGGTTTTCAAAATCAGATTTGTTAATACCGACATTATAGGAATTTCAATATATAGTAATACGAAAAAAGTCACAGGTGTAAGCCAAAATTTCTATATTTACCCCCATTGTCACCACCTCCAGTTATCGTTTAACTGGTAGTTATTCTTTCAGTTAGACAATTTTTGTAAGAGAACTGTCAATATATCTTAAAGTTAAATTATAACTGAACTTGATGAAAATATGGGTTAATATATTTTTAACTTAAAATACCTCTTGCAACCCCTAATTCTTTCAAAAATATTTCTGAAACTGATAAAATTCTTATCTATTTCTATCTGTAATTATACGAACATAAAATGTATAGTATTTAGTGACGTTTATTAACCGAGTCATTTGTCTGATATTTGTTTTTTTTTTTTAAGAAAAGCTATATTTCACCAAAAAAAATCTCTTTCAGAAATAATAATACGGCAGATCATAATGTGAAATTGTTTTATAACCGATTTATTCTAGCTAAAAAAAGTTCAGCGAACGCCTTACCTTTATATATGAAAATTTTGCGCACTGAAGCGTGTGCCTTATCATTTAGAATATGTATTTGAATATAATAAAAATGTACTAAATATTTGTGATTTCTTTAAATTAAATTTAAATTAATTTTTGCAAATAATAGATTCAAAAATTTTTACTCCCAATCTGTATATGGTATGGACTATAGTGTAGCCTATATATAGTCTTGACTATATTATAGTCTATAGCCTAGGCTGTGGTTTAGTCTATAGTTTAGTCTATAGTCTGGACTATAGTGCAGTCTATAGATTATAGAATACTTATAATCTAGTAGTCTTTAGTTCGGACTAGAGCATAGTCTATAGTCTGGACTATGGTGAAGTCCATTGTTTTGACTAGGGTCTGTCTATAATCTTGACTATAGCTTTTCTATAATCTGGACTATAGTGTAATTTATATATATGTAATTTATATTTTGAACTATAGTTTAGTATACAGTACGGACTATGGAGTAGTCTATAAACTGTATTATAAAGAAGTCTATAGTCTAGATTAGTTTATATTTTGGACTACAGTGAATTCTGTAGTCTGGACTATAGTGTAGTCTTTAGTCTAGTCTGAATTCTGAACTTAAGTGTCTAGTATATGTCTGTACTATAATCTAGCCTATAGCCTAGTCTATAGTCTGACTTGTAGTAAAGCCCATAGTCTGAACTATAGTCTAGTCTATAGTCTAGTCTAGTCTATAGTCTAGTCTATAGTCTAGTCTATAGTCTAGTCTATAGTCTAGTCTATAGTCTAGTCTATAGTCTAGTCTATAGTCTAGTCTATAGTCTAGTCTATAGTCTAGTCTATAGTCTAGTCTATAGTCTAGTCTATAGTCTAGTCTATAGTCTAGTCTATAGTCTAGTCTATAGTCTAGTCTATAGTCTAGTCTTAGTCTAGTCTATAGTCTAGTCTATAGTCTAGTCTATAGTCTAGTCTATAGTCTAGTCTATAGTCTAGTCTATAGTCTAGTCTATAGTCTAGTCTATAGTCTAGTCTATAGTCTAGTCTATAGTCTAGTCTATAGTCTAGTCTATAGTCTAGTCTATAGTCTAGTCTATAGTCTAGTCTATATTCTAGTCTATAGTCTAGTCTATAGTCTAGTCTATAGTCTAGTCTATAGTCTAGTCTATAGTCTAGTCTATTGTCTAGTCTATAGTCTAGTCTATAGTCTAGTCTATAGTCTAGTCTATAGTCTAGTCTATAGTCTAGTCTATAGTCTAGTCTAGTCTATAGTCTAGTCTATAGTCTAGTCTATAGTCTAGTCTATAGTTTAGTCTATAGTCTAGTCTATAGTCTAGTCTATAGTCTAGTCTATAGTCTAGTCTATAGTCTAGTCTATAGTCTAGTCTATAGTCTAGTCTATAGTCTAGTCTATAGTCTAGTCTATAGTCTAGTCTATAGTCTAGTCTATAGTCTAGTCTATATCTAGTCTATAGTCTAGTCTATAGTCTAGTCTATAGTCTAGTCTATAGTCTAGTCTATAGTCTAGTCTATAGTCTAGTCTATAGTCTAGTCTATAGTCTAGTCTATAGTCTAGTCTATAGTCTAGTCTATAGTCTAGTCTATAGTCTAGTCTATAGTCTAGTCTATAGTCTAGTCTATAGTCTAGTCTATAGTCTAGTCTATAGTCTAGTCTATAGTCTAGTCTATAGTCTAGTCTATAGTCTAGTCTATAGTCTAGTCTATAGTCTAGTCTATAGTCTAGTCTATAGTCTAGTCTATAGTCTAGTCTATAGTCTAGTCTATAGTCTAGTCTATAGTCTAGTCTATAGTCTAGTCTATAGTCTAGTCTATAGTCTAGTCTATAGTCTAGTCTATAGTCCAGTCTATAGTCTAGTCTAGTCTATAGTCTAGTCTATAGTCTAGTCTATAGTCTAGTCTATAGTCTATGGTCTAGTCTATAGTCTAGTCTATAGTCTAGTCTATAGTCTAGTCTATAGTCTAGTCTATAGTCTCTATAGTCTAATCTATAGTCTAGTCTATAGTCTAGTCTATAGTCTAGTCTAGTCTATAGTCTAGTCTATAGTCTAGTCTATAGTCCAGTCTATAGTCTAGTCTATAGTCTAGTCTATAGTCTAGTCTATAGTCTAATCTATAGTCTAGTCTATAGTCTAGTCTATAGTCTAGTCTAGTCTATAGTCTAGTCTATAGTCTAGTCTATAGTCTAGTCTATAATCTAGTCTATAGTCTAATCTATAGTCTAGTCTATAGTCTAGTCTATAGTCTAGTCTATAGTCTAGTCTAGTCTAGTCTAGTCTAGTCTAGTCTAGTCTAGTCTATAATCTAGTCTATAGTCTAGTCAACAATACTAATATCGAATAAAAAGCATTAATTTTAGGTACATTGCTTTATTCCAACTACAATATCGTCTATATTTATTAAGATATTAGTATACCTACAGTATTGTTCGAAACCTAAGCAACTTTTTTTGGCATTGTATACAAAGTGCTATATTTTCTATTTTAATTGATTTATTCAAAATTGTATAATTGATAATACATTAATACATACATTATAATAACAACAACAAAAGTTTATTTCCATTTCGCCGTGAGTTACAAGAAAATAATAACTGAACTAACTCCATAAATAGCTGTTCGAAACTTAAGCAACTTTTTGATCTTCTTATGAAAATCTTTGGTCCTTTTTAGTTCCAAACACCTTTATGGAATAGATTAGTTACTAGTGTAGTTCGTAATGAATCCCAAGCGGATTTTAAGCCATTCGCAAGCTACAATGTTTTCTAAAACTGCTAGTTTCGACCCACCGCTTCAGAATGCCGAACAGCATCTCTAAGGGACTTGAGCCGGGATATTTTGATGGACAATCAAATAATTTGGGTCCCATTACTCGATAACTACTCTTAGATCAACTTTGCCAAAGGTTTTGGTTCATTATCATGCTGAAAATCGCAATAAAGTAAGTTGTTGTCAGTCATATAATTCATTTTGTTGGCGAAAAACGTCCCAAGAAGAAAAACAATCCAACTCTGTTTGTGTTTCAACATTAGAACTAACCCTCTTCAAAAATCATGGCCACAACCTTAAATTTTTGCTCTCCATTCATTATTGGGCCTTCACTAAAAGGATATGTTATAATATTTCCTTCAGCCTTTGAGCCTCGCATACTCTGTTTGAATTTAAGAAGGAAAATGTGGACCCGTTTGTAAATGAAACTGTTTTTATTAGTCTTGCGTAATCTATTTCAATATTCTATTGTACAAAATTTTTGAAAAAATCGAATTTCTTTAAGTAATCTCTGTGCCATGTCACTGCGGGATTCATATGCGGTTACATCATCGTACATCAAAGACTTAAAAAAGCATGGAGGTCAAACAATTAAGGTTGTGGGCAAGATTTTTAGTGAGTAGAGTAAGTCCTGATGTTGAAATACAAATAAAATTGGATTGTTTTACTTTCTGGGACATTTTTAGCCAACAAAATGAACCGTAGGATTAAGTACATTGAACAGAACAACTTATTTTATTGCGATTTTCAGCAAGATAATGACCCAAAACCTTTGGCAAAGTTGATGTAAGAGTAGTTATCGTATAATGGGACCCAAATTATTTGATTGTCCATCAAAATCTCCTGACTCAAGCCCCTTAGAGATGCTGTTCGGCATTCTGAAGCGCTGGCTCGAAACTCGCAGTTTTAGAAAACATTACAGCTGTCGAATGGCTTAAAATTCGATTGGGATTCATTACGAACTACACTAGTAACTAATCTATTCCATAAAGGTGTTTGGAACTCAAAAGGACCAAAGATTTTCATAAGAAGATAAAAAAGTTGCTTAAGTTTCGAACAGCTATTTATGGAGTTAATTCAGTTATTATTTTCTTTTAACTCACAGCGAAATGGAAATAAACTTTTGTTGTTGTTATTATAATGTAGACACATAATGTTATTATTATAAATTATTAAATTTTGAATAAATCAATTAAAATAGAAAATATAGCACTTTGTTTACAATGCCAAAAAAGTTGCTTAGGTTTCGAACAATACTGTATATCCATACATCAAATGAGAGCTTGAAATCTCTTCTACAATTTTTCCAATATTTATCTGTAACGTTATATATATATTATATATCGTTGGAAAGGTATTTCAAAGCTCTTTCTAATGATGTATATATTGTCCGGATCGGTTCTTAAATAGAAAAAATATATATATGTATATAACTTTGAAGGTCTATAAATCCATAACTATACATTTGTTGACCAAAAGACATATGTACATATATCATAAATCATAGAATTAAAACGTCTATAAATGGTAAAATTTTTGTCAAAATTGGAGAGTTATACCCAATGTATATTAGTTCCCTGGACTATAGTGTAGTGTTTAATCTGTGCTATAG